TTTTTCATGTATATTTTATATTTATTTAACATATGCTTTATTTTATATATTTAATATGAAAACCTATCTATAGATTTATATAGAAATCATGTATATATAAATATTTTATATAATTCATATATTTTAATATATTATACATTTACTATATATCAATATATATAATTCATATATTACATGTGTTCATATATTATGTATACGTTATATTTGTAATTTTATGACTATTATATATTTTATTTATATTATACATTGCATCTTTAGTATATATACTTATGTATACATATAGTTATATATAAATATATATGTATTTTATATACCTTTAATATATTTTTATATACTTATAAATTTTATATATTAATACATATATATTATGGTTTTATGTTTGTTATGTTTAATATATTTTTATATGTATATTATATTTTTAATATATATTTTATATGCTATGTATTATTTATATACATATACTTTTTTAATTTACTAAGATATCCAAAAAGCCTACAGTAATGCCTGGCACTCAATAGACACTTGATACTTGCTGCATGAATGAAAAATTAAAAAGGGGAGGCGGAGGGAAAAGGACAGGGAAAGAATGAGAATCACTGCTGGCTTTCTTGGTGTCATGACTGGGTAGATGATAGTGGAAGAAGATAGAGTTTTCAGTGATGATCACAAGTACCATTTTGTATCTATTCAGTCAGAGGATATAGGAGACATTCCAGAAGATATAGTACATATATTTTGTATACTAATGTAGTATAAAATGGTTATAGATTGGAAGGGAAATGATTACTCACCAAACAGTGCTGAGAAAATTAGCAAGCAAATTTGAAAACTTTAGATCCTCTCCTATTATATCCACCAAAAATAATTTTAAGGTGGATCAAGTATTTTAGAAATACATGTTCATGAATATTCATTTGGTATTGGAATGGAAAAGAACTAAGCATAAAACTTAGTCACAACAAAGAACAAAATAAAAAGTCACAATTTACAAGTTCCATGGAGTTGGGAGTCACAAAAATCACTATTTTAATGTTGCAGAATACGATAGGTAAAATCAAAGAGAAAACAAAACATTGGGAAGATATTTTGAACACAAATATGATAATAAAGGAGTTAGTGTCGTCAACATATACATGAGCCTGGTAAACCAATATGACAAAACAATATTCTATCTATAGGGATGGGGAGGAAAAACACCTCAGCAAAAGTTCTGCTTCAGAAAAAAAAAAAAAACTGTGTCAATATTTTTGCCCAGTCTAACACTTTTTCCTTTCCACTGGTGGGTGTTCACCATTTCTTCCATTTGGGAAATGCTCCTCAACTTCATGTAGTAGTTTGGTGGCTCTCAGCCACATTACCTTGGCTCCTGCCCACTTAAGAGGACATGTGACCCAGACCTGGCCCATGAGAGACCTGTCATGGAGCAAAAATCATGCCAGTTAGGATCCTTTTGTTGGGTTTTACATGGCCATGAAGAAAGAAAACTTTTCCCCTTTCCATCAGGTTGCTCTGCTGGAATGATTTGAACTTAGAGCTATTTGTAGCCTCTCCTCTTTCCCAACACCACACATAAAGAAATCCATGTGCCAAATAAGAAAATGAGACCAATGTATAAAGAAAATCAGAGTTACAAGAGAGAGGGAGGAGAGAAAGAAATGGAAAGAAGAGCAAGAGAAAGGAGTGAAAGAGAAAGCAAAATCTAAAAATGTGAAATTGAGTAAATCCTTGGAGTTTACGCAGCTAGTATCACTACTGAACATCCCAATAACCCAAGTCAATATATTCCTGTCTTATAAAATACTTTAACTGTGGTTTTTAAAAATGCACAAAACATAAAATTTACCATCTTAAATAGTTTAAAGTATATAGTACAGTAAAGTTAAGTGTATTTACATTGTAGACTATTGTATAATATCTCTAGATCCTTTTCCTCTTACAAAAAATATGCATTTATTTTTTAAGTTATTTTAGGCTAGTTTTGATTGGATTCCTGACACATGTAATTCAAAGAGGTCAGGTTAAAACAACAATTGAAAAATTACAAGCAAATAAAATTTGAAGAAATTTAAAATAGATTTTATCTTTTTTATTTTTAATTAATTGAGAGAGAGGGAGAGAGCAAGCAAAAGTAGGGGAGGGGCATAAAGAGGGAGAGAAATAATCCCAAGCAGGGTCTGTGTTGTCAGCAGAGAGCCCTAAACAGGAATCAATCTAATGAACCATGAGATCAGGGTGAGCAAAAATCAAGAGTCAAAGAATTAACCAACTGAGCCACCAAGATGTACCTCTTTGGTCTTCTAAATTGGCAAATATTTTTAATAAATGGTCATATTTAGTCCTTTCGGAGAGGTACTAATGTGGATATACTTCTTACCAAACAAAAATTCTTGGGAGAAATGTGAATCAAGAATTTAAATCATTATTATCCCCTATCAATTCCAAATATGTCAATATCTAAAGGACATAATCTGAAATACAGTTAACACATATGTAATATTTTCAAGATAGAGTAAAAAATTAAAGATAACCTAACTGATCAATGACAGACATATCACAAAGATAATCATGAGAGTGATGTAATGCAATACTATGCATGAACTTAAAATTATTTGTACTAAATATTTGATAATGCAAAAAATTTCTCTGAATGTAATATTCATCAAAAAGGCAGGATAAAAATGTAGAGACCACTAAATCTCCCCTTTATAAATATATAGGCAGAGAAAAACACTAGAAATAAGTATACCAAAATGTTACCACTAATTATCTCCATATGGTGACTTTATGGGTGATTTCTATTTCATCATCTCTAATTTCAAGTAAATTTTTCTTTCTTATTAGAAAAAAATTTGCATTAGAAAAAAATAGTATTTTATTAGATAAATACTAAAACATGGAGGATTCTACATCAGAAACAATGGAAAATACACTCTTCTTTGAACGAGAAATGTATTTATCAATACCCTTTTGATTATAGATGACAAAACCACACCTTAAACAATCTTAAGCAAGAAGGTTAATGTATTGGCCCATTGACTGGTTCCGCTGGTCATCAAATTAATTGGATGGCAAGAATGAAGCTGAATGCTGAAGACTGCTGGAACCAAGAAATTGGCTACTGCCAAGCTTCTATCTTTAAATCTTATGTCTTCTCCCACATATGTTTCTTTCGGAATCCCAGACTTGATTTTTGACAGCAGGAAATGATTGCCAGCCGTTTCTCCATGTCACAGCTCCAAAACGGATGAGCTTGTTTTCTGTTCTGGAGTCTAACATCCTGAGGAAAAGCTCAGATTTGGCCCATCTTGGTCAGAGGCTCACACCTGAACCTTTCAACTATGGCTAAGAGATGTGACATTATGACTTGGTTCAGAAGCCCCTCCTTTGACCAAACAGTGGTGGTCAGAGAGATAGGATTTACATGTCACCTTCTAATCATATCACATGGTTACTACAAAAGAAAGCTACATTTACCAGGAGAAGGAGGTTGCTGGTTTGAGCAAACACAGACAAGATGTCCACTAGAAGCAGCTATTTCTTCGGAGTAAAAAGAATGGCCTTTAAAATTAAATGATACAGAAAATATGCAGATACTATGCAGTTGGGGAATCTGTCTTATCATACATATAGACCTGACAGAAAAGCAGGAAGACAAAGATTAGGTGGGGAAGGCATTTTTCATAAAACAACACACAAACACAGTGAGGAGTCTGGGAATCCCTGCTAGCCCTGCTGAACATCATTTAATCAGTAAAAGAGAAACTTGAGTGGAATTTCCACTTTCGAAAGACTACTTCCAAACAAATCTTAGGAGACTGAACATTAAGTGCAAGCTAGTAAACTGCTTTCAAAGTGTCCAACAGGGGCTCAAAAAAAAATGAGTGATAAAAGAGCAATTGAAATCAAAACAAAAGGCAAATAAATTATCAAGTGAAATTAACTATGAGGTAAATAAGAACCATTTATAAGATAACACGAATATTGATAAACTGGTTAAGGAGTATGTGGAAGGATATATAAGGCTCAGACTTATTTGTACTACATCTCTGAGAATGAGACTTCGTTCGTCTTTGTTAAAATGGATATGAACTGAAATTTCTAAATCCATGGATGCAAATTCCTCTCACCTACAGAATATAATACGGGCATATATAAAACACCTCCCAAACTAAAATTGAGCTTGCAATGACTCAAATCATGTCAATGCAATGGGAATAGTATTTTTTCAGCAGGGGGAAAAAAAGGGGGAACCTGGCTAGTTACAAACAAAATTAAGAATGAATCTTAAAGAACATAGGAGTTAGATAGTCTGAAACAGAGTATAAACAAAAGTCAAAAGTTAAATCTTGTGAGACCATCTAGCACTGTCCAGAGAGAAAGGCGGCCTGGCCTAAGGATCCTATTTTTCCACTTGTGATGGCAGGCATATCCTCGCAGGCATCAAAACCCCAGATGCTTACTTGAATATCCAGCTAACTCCTCTTAACTCTGATTTCTTCCTCAATAATGTGTTTATCATCACTTGACTTCTCATAAATTTCCATATAGTGAACTACTACGTTAGGCTTACATGAAAGTGCAGACCACGTACTGATTTTTTACAGCAAATTAATAAATTGACATCTTGATATAGATATATTTCTATCTGGTATCAATTTGTTTAGTGTCAATCAGCATCCCCTTATATAGTAACCCACTCAGACAATGAAGAGACCCAATTTTGAATCCAGACCACAGTAAATTCATCAAGGTAATGTCTCTTGAGAGACAAACAATTGCCCTTCTCTGGGAGTTACTTTTTATCACACCACATGCCTCCTTCAACCATAGACAACAACACAATTTCTCAGTTAAGATTTCTAAAGAACCTTGTTATTTTAAGCTGGGACAACTAAATGGTAGTAAGGTACTTGGAAACCCATACTGAAACCATAGAAATGTAACGTTACTTTGAGTCAATAAGGAAAATTTGTAATACGTTTGTCATTTAAGAAATCCTTCTATATATAATAAATCGACTGCATACTTTCCTCATTGCCACTTTCATTTCTTTGTTCCTGAATGTATAGATGAGTGAATTAAAAAAAGGAGTGAGAACCGCATCAAAAACAACAAGATATTTGTCTAGGTGTGAGTTGGGGTGAGGCCAGATATAAACAAAGATGCAAGGACCGAAGAACAAAACCACCACCATGACATGAGTTGACAAAGTGGACAGGGCCTTAGATGAGCCTCCTGAAGAGTGTTTCCGAACAGTGATCAGGATAGAAATGTATGAGACAATCAATATGAAGAATGATCCCAGAGATATGAACCCACTGTTGGCTATGACCATGAACTCTAGACTGGAAGTATCTGTGCAGGCAAGTTTGATGAGCCGAGGAAAGTCACAATAAAAGCTGTCTAACACATTAGGGCCACAGAATGGCAATTTTATAACAAAAACCAGTTGAATCACAGAGTGGGTCAACCCAATTACCCATGCAACAAATGAAAGCAAAATACACATTTTTTGGTTCATAATAGTCAAATAGTGCAGAGGCTTACATATGGCAACATATCGGTCAAAGGCCATGGCAATGAGCAGCACCATCTCCACACCACCAATGAAGTGTATAAAGAAGATCTGGGCGATGCAACCATCAAAGGAGATGACTTTACGCTTTCTGAAAAGGTCATAAATCATCCTGGGAGAAATGACAGAAGAAACTCCCAGGTCAATGAAGGAGAGGCTGACCAACAGAAAGTACATGGGAGAGTGTAAGTGAGGGTCAGAAGTCACAGTGAGCATAATGAGGGAGTTTCCCATCATGCTTCCCACATAAAACATGGAGGAGAACACAAAGAGGAGAAGCTGAATTTCCCAGGAATCGGTGAGTCCCACGAACACAAACTCTGACACCACAGAGTGATTCACTCCATCCACTGATTTATCAGCTAGAATGTTTCCAGATAAAAGAAAATAAAAACTAAAATGAGAATGTTAATAAAGTTCTACATTAAAATGATTAATTAATCAAGGATATTCACATTATAAAAAACTATATATCCCTTCAATTCCTGCTCAGGGTCATTATTAAATACACATTTTGCCTGGAGTCACCTAAAGCAGTTGAGTCACTTCCACATGCAATATCCCTAACACCATGGCTTCCAGGACTACTGATTTATAAACAAGAAAATGAAGCAAATATGAAAACTTAGATGTGTATAGCAAGGATCAGGAGGGGTAGGGAGAAGGAAGAGGTAAAGTCTGCATTTGCCTGTATTAGCTGGTATTATTTTTTTAAGTTTATTTATTTATTTTGAGACAGAGAAAGAGAAAGCAAGAGAGGGGGAGGGCCAGAGAAGGAGGGGAGATCGAGAGAATCCCAAGCAGACTCCATTGTGCCCAAACAGAGCCCAAAAAGTGCTTGAATATACCAACCATGAGATCATAACCTAAGTCAAAGTCAGATGCTTAACCGAATGAGCCACCCAGGGGCCTCTCACTGGTACTATTTTAATTGTTCATAGAACAATTCTTCAGCCATTCAAGTTGTCTTATTTCTTACCTTCAACCTATCTCAGGGATATATTATGTCTCTTGTAGTCAGTCTTATGCCACTACCTATAATCACATTTGCAATTCACACTAAGCCCACAGAGTAGTGGTGAGCCTAAGAAAACCAAGTGTTGGCTATAGAGGTGACTTGGGTGTATGAGATGATCAAGGCAAGGGCAGAATAGAAACTGATGGCACAGAGTATCTGCATGACACCCAGAAAGTATAAGTACCTAGTAGGATGGTTAGCAGCCAGGACATAGCCAAGATGTGTAAGGAGGAGAGGTGTGTTATGGGTAGTCAGGGAAGTTAAGGAAGCCAATCTGATTGATATGTCCAGATTCTACATACTCTCTCAGGTTTTTGAACCTTGGTTATAGCTATCAGAGCCCTAAGCTTTTGGAATTTGGAAGAAGATATGCCCACTAATGTAGGGCATCACAGTTACCACATAACAATTGAGTCTCTCCTGTCCTTTCATCAAACTTAGCCCCTTTTGTTCTTCTTATCTCATCTCTTCCACCTCAAATCTCCTAATTGTCTGGGTCCAATGCCAAGTCTGACTGTTCCCTGACCCTAATTCTTTGTGACTATATGAATCTCTCTAGTTCTTACCCATTTTTTTTTTCAGAGAATAAAATGTTACCATGTAGAAGATATTATTCTCTTGCCTGTGTGTCAAACTCTGTGTCTCAAGCCCTATGGCTCTCATAATAGTTAGATTTGCTGCTAAAAGGTGAAGTGATCTGAATAAAGAGGCAAATTGCAGGATAAATAGTACATCAATGCACAAAAAACTTCTCACCCAGAACTGAAAGGAAAGAGTAAGAAAAACCTAAAAACACAGAAAAAAATGGATCCCAAAGCTCTGTCCTTTTTAAAAAATTTTTTAATGTTTATTTATTTTTGAAGGAGAGAGAGACAGGGCAAGAGTGGGGGAAGGGCAGAGAGAGAGGGAGACACAGAATCTGAAGCAGATTCCATGCTCTGATGTGTCAGCAGAGCCAGAAGCGGGGCTTGAACTTAGGAGCTGTAAGATCATGGCCCGAGCCAAAGTCAGACTCCCAAATAACTGAGCCACCCATGCACCCCTTGTCCATTAGTATCTGTATTTATATATGCACACATGCACAAACCTCAGTTGTGCATGATGAGTGAGATCAGTCATAAAAATATTATCCTGCAGGGGCATCTGGGTGGCTCAGTCAGTTACGCTCTGCAGCTCAGGTCATGATCTCACAGTTCAGGAGTTCAAGCACCTGTCCGGTTCTGTGCTGGATTCTGTGTCTTCCTCTCTTTCTGCCCCTCCCCCACTCACACTCTGTCTCTTTTTCTCAAAGATAAACATTAAAAATTAGTAACGATACAAACCTCATTAATGATTACCTAGTCCAGCTCATTATTTACAAATGAGAAAACAGTAATCCAGTGAGGAACAAACTAGTTACAGAGAATCCAGGTTTTCTAGTCTATGGCTTCAGACTCCATATGCCAGAAAAATCATAAAGTGAGAAGAGATATGCCAAACCTAGATCTACTCAGTCCAAAACAGTAGCCACTAGTTCCATATGGTTATTAAATGAAATTAAAAATCTATTTCCTTGGTTGCAGTAGCCACATTTCAAGTGCTCAATAGCCTCCTCTAGCTAGTGGTTATATCGAGGGTAGTACGATATAGAACATTTCCAAACCCTACTCATCCCTTAAAGGTAAATCAAAATCCCATTTCCTCTATGAAAATCTTCGTAGTACTATATTTTACATAATTGTCTTTTCTCTCTCATTCCTAGAAGTCAGGAAACTTAAATTTAATTGAAAAACAATAATTCACCAGATTAAAAAAAGATCACAACACACATCACCACAGGAGACATTCCAGATGTCTACTGCTGGCCAACAAGGACACGTAAGAGTCTGTGAAATCAGAGACAGCTTTACAAAGGAGAAAGGTATTTGAAAAAACAGTAGGAGATTAAAAACCTAAGAAGGGAAAGGAAAATATTTTGAGAAGAGATAATAACTGATCCCTTATTTGGAGCAAATCTTTTGCTAATAATCATAATTCCTCAATGGTTTCAATTTTTTTAATGTTTTATTTATTTTTGAGAGAGAAAGAGCATAAATGAGGGAGATGCAGAGAGAAGGAGACAGAAGATCCAAAGTGGGCTCAGAGCTGGCAAAACAGAGCCCAATGCAGGGCTTGAACTCATGAATACTGAGATCATGACTTGAGCCAAAGTCAGTTCTCAACTGACCAAACTACCCAGGGTGCCGCCTCAATGGTTCAATTTTATAGACTTTCTCTCCTTGAATATATTGTATGTTTGAAGAGGAAAATGACCATTTCTTCTGGTTCATGTGTTTCCTAAAATACAAAACAGTTACCAAGGGTTTCTTGATTATTTAGTTAATAACACTTCTCTGAAGTAAAACCATTTTCTCAAGTCCATAATTTGTCAGTTTCTGTTTTCCTCATCTGCCATATTTTTCCATTAAGTCCAGCATGCATAAAAGAAGTCTCCAAATTCAGAACTAAGCATTAATATACTTCCTAATCACTCCAAAGAGAATGCCTGGTATTCTTGCTATAAATTTCTCCTTGGGAGTAGGGAAGCCGCATCTCAAGTCTTATAATGGCTTATGGTTTAACTTTATGATATTTTAGAAAACAAGAAGCACCTAAAATGAAAACAAAGGCAGGGCCCAGGGGGTAGGTAGGCATGGAACAGTTCCAGTAGAAGTCAACATATGAGGAAATTTACACAGTTTCTATATTCCAGCCTTCATAACATAATTAGTAGACATCTTCCATCCCATCATTGAAGTCAGAAATGAAAATATAGATTTTTTTTCCACAACATTTTAAAAGTTTCTAACATATTTAATGATGGAATCTGTATGGATTTAATGATGGAATAACGTATGATGAAAATAATCATACATTATTTTCATGGCACATATTTACTAAGTACTTTCACACATTTGATGCTTGTAATCCTTTGTAGGGGTGGATATATCTGATAGAATTATTTTCATTATAGATGAAAAATCTCAAATTCCAAGAAGTTACCTAAAAGCATAGTTACTTAGTTTGAAACAAGAAACCAGGTCTTCTGATTCCAAATCCAGTGCTGTTTTGACTACATCAAGCAAAGATGCATGTTTGTACATGATCTAAAACAATGATTCCTGCTGTAAATTTTAGCCACAAATGAAAACAAAAAAAAGGACACCTTAAACTGGCACACTGTTATAGGTCACTGTATTTCAATAAATCTGGAAAGAAAAGATTTCATTTTACTCAGAAGAATATTTTATCCCACCCACATAAACATTTAATACATATATAAATTAACTTACCAAGGTTTTATAGCTACTAGTGGCAGAGCCAAGACTTAAACATACATATTAGTGTACAGGTTAAAGGGAAGGGAGAAAGATGGTGGCTGATTAGAATGAGGGGGGGGGGAGGGACAAAATCCACCAAGGTTTTGGTGCGAATAAAAAGATTCACCAAAGTCAGAGGGCCATTTAATCATAAAAAGTCATAGTGATTGACAGACAAGAAGTATCTCAGCTAGAGACAAAAATTTAGAAGTCATCCAAAATGTGGTCATGAGAAAGAAATATTTGCTTTAAAGATAACATATAAACACATAAAAGAAAGCTAATGGAGGAAACATGCATAGCAATAAAAAAGAACAAATACATGGTATTTGTCATCATCATTATTATATTATTATTACTACTATTCTTACATACTATCTGCCTTTTAAAAGCCCTGTTTCCACACACAAAAATGAGGGAGAAAGGAATGTCATAGAATTAAGGAAAGGTTCACTTTCATATGCTAAAGAGTGATCAAAATGAGAAGACTAAGTAAAAGGCATAGATTTAGGACTGAGATCTCACTGCTGCCATTAGAGCAGATAAAATCAAAACAGAGAAAATCAAGATTTTAGGAGGGTAACTGATGGTGCCAAAGTGGAGAACGTAAAATCAGAAAATGAAAAATAATTTCAATAATCTAGGGGAAGAGGTTTGGGAATGGGGGGGAGTGGGAAAATAAGGCAATATGCTATGTGCAGAAAATTTGCAGTGACAGAAATCTACAGTTATGAGATAAAGAGTTCCGAAGCAATTTTAAGAATCTTGTTGAAGCTGGGTATCTCAAACTTAGACAAAAACTAGAGGAAAACTTTTTGTGACTCCATTCAGAAACATTCGGGATCTGAATACCCAGAATTTTAGAGCAGACTGTTTGACACATTAAGAGAATGGGGTATCAAAAGAGTCAGAGATCCTTTGTTCAGTATTTTTGTTTCTTAAATTCTACATATGAGTGAAATCATGTGGTAATTGTCTTGCTCTGACTTATTTTGCTTAGCACTAT